CTACGGTGACAAGTGACCCAACTCCTTAGCCCCCACTACAATTCAAAATATATAATACTAACAATACCTCGAAAAAAATTAAAATAATAATTTTTTTAAAGAAAAAATAATTGGTTCTCCTTTCAAAGAAAAGTTCATGAATCCACTCAACTCTACTTCGAATTTTCGCCCATCATTTTCCCTAATCACTTCATCATTACAACCACTTCCACGAAAAATCCCTAACCCTATTAATTGCCTACTAACCTGTGCCCTAAGGCACAGGTTAGATAATCCCCAATTAAAAACACCGGTGATCCATTGTTATTCTTAGGAAGGCCACACATTCCACACATGACGCTTTTGGCACGCAGAAATTATGGCTGGTTGTTGTGTGCACCTCAATTTTTTTCCCAAGTCGGCAGCATGGCATTATTATCAACATTTATGGGCCAAGTCAAGTCAGTGCATTTGGTCTTTTTCTATATGTCCTCAGTGGTCCTAACAAAATTTTTTAGGGGAGGTGAATAAATTAATTAATGGATCAAATTAGGCAGCAATCAAACGGTCTTTTGGAAAGTTGAAACAGTTTGTTTTAACTGAAAACATAACACTTGCAATGTCAATTACTATGAGGGGCCAAAAAATATATTATAATTAATTTTTTTTTCTAAATATAATATTTGTTGAATATTTTATTTAGATAAAATTCATTTATTTATTTGTTATATATTTAATAAATAAACTATGATTTAATTTTTAGTTTTTATTTTTATATATTTAATAACTAGTACTATATCTAAATTAAATTTAACGAATTTAAATTTTTATGATAAATTGTGATTTCTAAATATAATAGGTACTAAAGTGTCGAGAAGAAACTTCACATGAAACAATAATTAATGTGTGGGAAGTGTAGAGAATAAAGTGCAACGTTGCATTAATTGATGAGATATACAATAAAATTCAATCTTTTTTTTTTTATCTAGATATGTTTGAAATTTTTGTTTCACTTGTGAGGCCCATTTTTTTTTTCCAAAATTGTAGTGGGAGGCATCATTTCTCTATCTCTGAGCTCTTTTTACTTGCATATCATACAACTCAAATTTTCTTACATTCAACAAATGAAGATTAACATTGATTTACTTAAATCATTGGCTTCTTTTGAGCTTTTATTTGCCGTAAGTTATATATTTTTTGATTAATAAGAAAATTAACTTTGCTAGTAAAAAAATATTTATAGCTTTTAGAGCTTTTCTTTGTATATCTAGATCACCACTCATGGTGGTCAACTATGTAGTAATACTTTATGTCTTTCTTATTCTTCATCCTTTCACTCTGCATTTTATTTTGGAAAAAATATTTTGCATGCGGTTCTTTCAATATATTTTTAAAGGATTTCTCTAAATGTTTTTAAATTAATATTTTTAAAAACTAATGTTATATTAAAAGTTTTATTCATATAAATTATACATGTTAATTTTGTCATTAATCTTGTAAGCCTAATAAGTTTATTGATTACACATAATTTAATACTATTAAATATATGTCAACAATTAAATAATGTTTCTTTTATCAAATGATTATAAGTAGTAAATTAATATGCAAAATTGATATGGATAATTTATATAAATAAAAATTTTAATGTAATGGTTAATTTTTGATAATATCAATTAGAAAACAAGTTTTTAGTTAAATACCCTGAAAAAACTTTTAGGAAAATAACATACATTACACCGACTTCTTTTATTTTCTTTTATCCTTGTTTAAAATTTATTAGTGGGCATGGTAGAACAATAGAAGAGACATGCTTCACAAGTTATGATTTGGGCAATGAAAAGGGCTAAACGAAAAACAATTAATTAAGAAAATAAAGTCAGGAGTTCCTACCTTATTTGATTTAGCTATTTCAATAAAATTCACAATTAATAGTTGATACATGACAACTAATAATTGTTTATAATCCAGTCTTTTGTGAAAACCATAATTAACAAGAAGCAGTACGAGAAACCTCTACTGAATGTGATGGAAAAAGAATCTTATGACTTATAAATATTTTATTGGTTTTTTTTTAATACATCTGATTATGAGTTATATAAGAATAAATAACCCTATCCTATTCCCAAATCCCTCCTTATCTAACTTAAGGCTCAAACTTGAGATTCCAACTTGAAATTTTAAGTTCTTAACCGTTGAGCCATCCCATTGGAGTTATAAACATTTTATTGGTTAGAATACTACTAATGTAGTATTCCATTATTGTAATGAAGAATTCTTCAACTGGAAGACATGGAATAAGTTAAGGTTTTCTAGAATATTGGATCATATAATAACATGTGGAAAGTGTAGAAAAGAAAGTTTTATGTGAAACCATAATTAACATATAAAAAGTGTAGAGAAGAAAGTGGAACATTAATTACTCTAATACTTGATGAAAAGGAATGAAAGCAAAAGGGGAAAGGGGAAGTCATCATTGGGCTAGAAGCATGTGATGTGGGTTTAGTATATCAACGTGTGGAATAAGTTAAGGTTTTTTTGGAATATTGAACTATATATTAACGTGTGGAAAGTGTGGAGAAAAAAGTTTTGTGACATAGAATAATTTAAGATTTTCTTAAATATTGGACTATATATTAACATGTGAAAAGTGTATAAAAGAAAGTTTTATGTGAAACCATAATTAACTTGTAAAAAGTGTAGAGGAGAAAGTGAAACATTACTTGCTCTAATACTTGATGAAAATCAATGAAAATAAAAAGGGAAAAGGAAGTCATAATTGGGTTAGAAGCATGTGGCGTAGGTTTAGTATATCAAATTAATTAAATTTTTATTCATCGAAAAAAGATTGAATTTTGAACAGAAACAATGCATAAAATCATGTGAATGTTGAGAGCAATTGCATTTATTGGTCATTATAATGTATACATATTGATGGTAAGGGTTAGGTCGTAGTCATTTCACTCTAAATGAAAATAAACATTATAAAAAAATGAAGTCAATGTTGCAGCAGAGACATCATGTGCTAGTATGCTATGGAAAGTTTAGTCAAATATTCATAATTTGTTTGTTATTATTTTTTTTATTCTCCCATTATATTATTTATTTTTAGTTACTCTTTTCATCTCCAACAATCATTACATCATTACATATCTTTTTTTGCATCATTACATATCTTTTTTTTGGACACAACTTTTTAATTTCATATAAAATCATAAATTGTGTTTCTATCTCTTTTTATTACTATTATTATATATCATTACCTATCGATCATTATATATCTTTTTTCATTAAAAATAAATTGTGATTGAATTATGAGTTATTGAATATAAAACTATAAATTGAAGTTAATTTCATATGAGTGGAGTTAATTGGTTTTTAACTTTTTTAATAATTTTTCTTTAAGAGATTCATTATTATTTAAGATTGTATGAAAATTTACTAAATAGTTTAAAAGTTTCATTATTTATTTATTTAGAATTTTGGGGAGATTTATTGAGAATTTTATTAAGAAATTTAAAAGGCTTATTAAATATTTATTGGATATTTATTAAGGTTTTTAACGATTTTTATAATATAATATATAAAATATAATATTAAAAATGTATAATAGAAAAATTATTACAAAAAATATAATTAAAATAGTTGAAGTGAAAGTGAAGTGACATTATAGTATTAAAAAAAGATTATTATTAGGATATAAAAATAAATATTTTTTTATCCGAATTAATGATTGATGATAATGATCCATGGTAATGCAAAAGAAAGATTGAACTCTATACAATTGTTATTGTTATATTAATTAATTATGTTTATCAAAAACAATAATATAATAGATTCAAAAAGCCCATATTTACATTTAAAATATTTGATTTTTTATGAATAGTATACTATTTGAATTGAAATGTGAGATCATTTATGTTTGGTGTTTATTTAAGATTTTTAAAATTTTATTAGTTATTTATTTTGCATTTATTAAAGATTTTAAAATGTATATTGGGTATTTATAATTGAGTTCATATTAAAATAATTGAAGTAACTGAAATTAGATCAAAGTATACTTACATTAAAAGGAAAGATTATTATTGAAAATATAATTGAATTTTAATTTTAAAATTTTATATTTACTTAGTATTTATTGAATATTTTAAAAAGTTCATTGATTATTTATTCAATATTCATT